TATCCTATTGTGCCTCTTCTACGGTGATACACACGAGACGAAGTTCAGTACTTTTCATAAAATTTTTTTTTTCATATGTATAAATATTATACCAGATTAATCTTCTGATATATTATTTCTGGGTTTAAAAAATATTGCCTTGTTCCCCCCCGCCCTCTCTCTTTTGTTTTTAATTCTCCTAACCATAAACAAAGGAAACATGGGAAATTAAAGTTAGCATGAAACAGCGTAAAAGGGTGAAATCTACTCGTTTTCTTTTTTTCAATGAAGAAATGTTACATAGAGTATAGAAGAGAAACGAAAAAGGTACTCCAAGAAGTGTTAGTACTATACTACAAGTCTACAACTAATCCTACAAAGAGACAGAAACATAAATGTGACTATCCTGTAAATTAATCAAGGATAGAGATTGACTTGAGTCTATCAATTGTTTTGTCTCTCAAGGTATTTATCATCTCGTCAACTTTGATCCTGAAAGCATTTGGTTCCTCAAGCAGATGTAATACCTCAGGCTGGTCCAAGTCTAAAAGCATACCAGTAACCCTTCCTGTTGTGGTTGAGTCATGCACCAGATTTTCTACTAACGGGTATAAAGCATCACCAAGGATCTATAAAACACAACCATTCATTCACAAGAGAGTAGGTATCACAATTTCCTACTGCATGTGTAAATGAAACAAACAGCTCTTACCTGTCTCTGCATTTCAGGACTAGCATTGGCAAGGGCCGTGACCAAGCTCTGAAAGGGCATTGCCTGTCCACCCGTGCCATAAGCCACCGGACCATGAGCATGATGATAGACAAAGGGTCCCCTTGGAAGCATCTGAAAACCACAGCAATAACTGTTCTTATAACGTGTATATGAGTCTAACTCACTTTACAAAATCATATAAGGTGTTTTCTCTAATCGAATATATTATTTTGTTCCTCTTCCTCTCGTTGACATTGGACATGGCAAATACAAGGGGTTAACAAAGAAAAACAGTACAGAATCAACCAAGGTGTGCATAATAAGACCTGTTGTTGCACCAATGGTTGAAGTGGCATTGGAGCACCTGCTCCTCCGTGTCCTCCTGGCTCCTGACCAACTAGTCTCATTCCAGGAACACA